TCCTACTCGTGACGCAAATTCTACTCTACATTGTACTTTTAATGTTATTATGTAAGAATTACGGATCACCTTGCAATGTAAAGTAGAATTTGCGTCACGAGTAGGATTTTCATTTCGTATTTTCGTTAGTCGTTTGGAATCCTACTTCATCTTGTTTTTTTAAATTTTTTATGTTCTTGTTTGTGTTGATTTTTTTATAATATTTCGTATTTTAGTTGGTTGTTCGGAATCCTACTTCATCTTGTTTTTTTTTAATTTTTTATGTTCTTGTTTGTGTTGATTTTTTAATAATATTTATAGTATTTCTTTAGTTGCAATTGTGATACTTGTTGATTTTACACAAGCAATAATTTTCTTTATCATTATTATCATTGTTATAACATTTATGAGAGACAGCATTGAATGGACATGCTGAAGGAATATCAACTATACTGATGACAAGTGAAACTAATTCTAGTCTTAACACAAGTCCTTGTTCAAGAATCTTTGAGCTAAGAGTGTCCATCTTCCCTGCTATTCCTGTTCTTCCAGGCTATTGTCAAGTTCATAATTATTATTGCATATCATAAGTCATAACATTAATTAATTGTTTGTTTTTTTTAAATAAAATAAAATAACACACTTGATAAAACAGTAACATGTAAAATCAATACCTTCTTTTAGCTGGAAACCTCCACTAAAGTATTGCAGTAAGTTGATTCCAAGCATAGCTTGGTAAAAAATAAATTGCTTCTTCCAGAGCTGCAGATCTGCATCTGAGCATGCGCGACCACACCCAAATTTTGGAGCACATGGCAAGCTTCTTTAATTAACAAAATGGCGGCATGTAGCTAAGATGGCTCGATCCAGCAGTCACAGTATCACTTTTTCCTTACTTGAAGAATGATCTGATGGGACATGGACCTGCGCATAGACTGTTGGAGTAGATTGGTGTAAGAATTATCCTTGTAGCACCAACTGATACTGAGATACACACCGACAACTGGATTGACAGGACTTGATGATGAAGATGAAGATGATGAAGATGAAAAAAGGTGGCTGAACAAAACGGCCGATTCGCCGATTTTTGACTTTTCGCTTAGACGAGGTCTAGAGCCACGCTAGTGGTACCATTGGAGTCCTCTGGTCAAGATAAGGTCCTCTATAAAGTCTGGTAAGCATAGGAGCTCGTTTTCCCAGTATAGCAAGGCTGCAAAAGTCGTGGCA